TCTCTCTCTTCTTCTTTATCAAACAAATCACAACTTTCGAAAATAACAATATTGAAGATGACTATAATAAACTATTATATATCAAAAGCAAAAGCTATTATCTTATGAACATCATAAATAGATTCATTTTTAAAATCTTAACCTGACCGAATATTATATTTTTGTTAGAGAAAAAAATATGCTAGAGTTTTTCAGTATCTTAAAACCTCTTCAACTATCTTCTCGTTTACTCTTTTTACACTCTTGTTTCATTTTCACATATTATACCTTAAAAGATCTAATATATAAATATATACAATATATTTATTTGTGTGTATATCCATAAATATATGTATATATATATTTATTGCCCATACCTTACCCTTCTTCACCCCTCTCCCAAACACACATCAGAAACATGAAACTAAGAATATAAAGATAACTATAGCAAAACAAGGTTCATCAAAAACAAAAACTACAATATATATAATAGTAAAAGAGTATAATAAAAAATGTAGTTAAGTAGGCAACTAAAATATAAACGAAGAAGGTCAAATCAGTATGAAGGTCATGAAGTTTTATATTCTCGTATTTCGTTTTCTTATATCATAGCTGAAAAATATCAAATATACACTCTCACATATGTACATATGTGTATATATCTTGTTCCACTACTTATCTTTCTCTCTCTTTCTTTTTCAAATACCTCAGAAACATGTAACTAGCAGTATAAAGATAACTATAGCAAAACACCATTCATCAAGAACAAAACTTTAATATGCATATATGTGGGTGTATATAAATATAGAGTAAAGTATTATATTAATAAAAAAAATACAATTAAGTAAGAAACTAAGATATAAACAAAGAAGATCAAACCAGCATGAATGTCATGAAGTTAATCATACATATCATTCGTAAAAAGTCATATGTATTTATGTATGCGTGCGTGTGTGTGTATATATATGTAAATTGTGCTCCCATGACTTCTGTTCCTCTCTCCCAAACAAAATTCAGAACAAGAAAGCAACAGTACATGATAAGATAACTATAACAAAATATTGTTCATAAAAAAAATAAAAAAGTACGATAATATATCATAAAACATTATAATAAAAAAATGCATTCAAGTAAGAAAATTTTTAAGATAAAGATTTTAAATATATATGTGCACATAGCCATACCTCAAGAAATATACTGGTGGTAGAGAGAACCTTAAGATAAGATAGATCATAAACAAGCCCGATCAGTTTAAAAGGTTGCGTAAGATGTTTTGCTGAATTCATAGTGAGCAGAAAATCTTCCAACTTGGCGACATTATTAAGTTTGAGGTAAATAGGGTTTCCAATGTAGTAAAATGATTTCAGAGATGGGGCATTAATTTCAAGATCCACCAAGTTTTCACAATCCCCAAATTTCAGTACTCTAAGCCATTTCTGCTTCGTCGCATTAATATACACAATATTAAGAGAATAGCAGTGAATTATTTCCAGGTTCTCCAGAAGAATGCAACAGTCGAATAAAGCCCCAATGAATTGTATATTCACATCCACACATTTCAGAACAACATTCTTCAAGAGATGCCAGTTTTTAAGCTCTGATAAGTGCGGATTGAATTCACAATTGTTGATTGTCAGACTTGTTAAAGTTATTCCAGAATCAACCCAATCTGAAGAGAGGACTGGAATGGTGCTTACACTGGAAAAATCCAGTTCAATCTCTTCAACATCTTTTGCTATCGCTTGTTTGATCCATGATTCAATGGTTGGAATGATGGATTCAGTTGGATATATGAAAAGACGAAATGATTTGATTTTTGATCCTTCATGGTGACGAAAGATTTGGTCGATGATGGAGACAAGTGCTCCACGGTGGTACCCTCGAGCGAATTCCTTATCAAAGATCAAGCTTTTGATGTACTTCAAAGTATTTCTGAATCTCGATGCAAGAAGACTTGATCTCGCTGCTTGTTTGACTGGAAAGAAAGTGATGATAGTCTCCACAATGTCACCGGGTATATCAAAAGAAATCATCGAATTTTGATATGGGTTAACAAGACTATCGTTACCATGTTCGTCAGGCTTGTGTCTTTTTGCTTTCTGATTGGACATGGTTTTCTTCTTTGTTTCATGAGCAACTACCATTGATAGATTGTATTCAGAATTTTCTTAATAAAATTACAAGAGACATGAAAGAAATTCTGATGGATATATTTCAATTTAGCGAGAAGAGAAAATGTGAGGAATCACAAACAGGGCACTATACCATTATATATATTTCTCTCCGTCATGTATTATAAAGGTCATTAAAACAAATTTGATTCTTTTTAAACAAATTTTTTTAGGCTCTTGAGAATACAAAATCCCATTGCTGGTTTTGTCTTTTCTGGAACAAACAACCATTATTGCGCTGACGCGGCGGATCGTAGTCGACCGGATTCATGAGCTGGTTTTGTATTTGTCCAATAATCCTGTTTACCCTTTGGATATACTTGACCAAAAATAAGTTATTATGGTAAGAAAAATAAGAGATATTTTACCTTAACTAGAAATATTAATGAGTCAACTTTTATTATTTGGCAAGAAAAAATTTCTTATGGTAACAAAATTCATAGATATTTTATTTTAATAACAATTAATTATTTTATATATCCTTATTTGCATTTTTCAATCTGATTTTTTTTGGAAATTACTTTTTATATTTTAATTACAGTGATTTTCTGCTTTCAAAAGGTGGTGGCAGATTAAGCATCTATGAGTTGGATTTTTTGGATTCTTCATATTCACTAAAAAGATAATGCAAAGTATTTTCTTAGGAGGTGGTGGATTTTCTTTTGAATCAACATTAAGTTTAATTAGATTTAAGTTTTGATTTCCTTTTTTTTTCTAGTTTCAGATTCATTGTTCTTAAAAAAATTAACATTAATTAATATACTGAATTTTGAAAACCATTTTTGGTCAGAGTTAATTAGTACCAAAATACCATTTTCTTCCTTATAATTCACTTTTATATGCATTAATTTAATTTTTATAATAAGAAAAAAT